TGAATTGGGAGTAATTAGTGATGTAAGTAAGCCCTTTGTCCCTTAAAAATATTTGTACAAGTATTATTATGTACCTACCTACTAACTAACAAGTCGGTAATCTTATTTTTAACAAAAACTATTGGACACCGTATACAGTGTTATGTATTTTTGAATTCCTCCATACTTCGTAAATATTAAAAAATACTCAGGAGCAAATATAAGACAATCGATCATTTTCATTTTTTGTGATTGACATATTATTATATACGATTTCATGGGAAAATTAAGGTGGCCCTAAACCACCAAGGCGCCAAGAACAATTATTATCCTGGCTCCGTGTCTACGGGTGGGTAAACATTCACCGTCGAAAAACGTAAGCACGTACACGCATTAGTTGATGAACAATATAATACTATTATGTATTGTCAACCTATCGATCACCTGAGAGGTGCGTGTCACTTAGGATAGTTATTATAATATTATTATCTACGATATACCTACAGATGTATATATATATATGACAGCGCAGTGCGTGCAAATAAGGGACTGTGGTAATATTATAATATAGTGTCCCACCATGATAAGGTTTTCGTTAATATTACAATTTTTATTTATTTAACACTGTATACTATGCAATTTAAAAAAATTAAGAAAGTGTGTGAGCCCAAAATTACACTCTGGGGAGTAAAACTTCTTTCATAAGTAATTTGGCTGTGAAATTATAAGTGAATCATGGAGAGAGTGAGAAAAATCAATACAATAAAAAAAAAAAACACTTACAATTACATAACAATTACTATTGGTTTATGGTAACTGAAGTGGAAAATAGAAATAGAAAATAGAAATTAAAATAGAACCTTCTCCGTGATATAATTTTAAAAATTTAAAAATTAAAAAAAAAAAGAAATTTAGTTTGGTTTCAAAAGGTGGACAAGTTGGTACCGATCTGCTGTACAGTAGTTGTAATGGATGTGTTATATTTGAATACAATAATGAACCATTGTATACGAAAAACGATTCTAAGTGGTTAGCGTAGTCCTTATAATTTTATAATTTTTTATTCGTTACTATAGTGATAATACAAATATTAATTTTATTAACTTAGACTAGGGTGACCATACTTAAAAAAATAAAATACAGGACAAAAATATTATCATATTGTTATATTATATTAATAATTTAATATATAGCATTTTTAAATTAAGAAGTATTTATTTTATTTTTTGTTGTCCAATAAGATAACGCTTGTGAACGACTTAGGATATTATTAATATTTATTTACTTCGTAATATGCTCACATATGATTACGAACTGGTCGCGCTGATCGGTAAATATACTGTTATACATCCGGTTTATGCGTCACCGACAACAATGTGATGCAGCAATAATAATGGTAAAAACAAAAATCCAAAAATACAATCGAAAAGTAAAGATTTTTATATTATTCTATTTAATAATGTCATTTTAAAAATTTCAAAAATTATATACATTAACAATAAATCATAAAACGGGATTAATATGGGACAGATTTGAAATTACGGGACAAAAAGCATCCTGAGAGAAGTTTGTCAGGATAACAGGACACAAAGCCGAAATAAAGGACAATCCTGTGTAAAACAGGACGTATGGTCACCCTAACTTAGACAAATGCTACTGCGATAGGAACCTTCTACGTGATATAATCTTTCATTCAAATAAAAAAAAAAATTAAGACAGTCGGTCCAAGGGTTTCCGAGAACATTAGCATCAAAGTTTTCGTTTCATTCTGAGTTACAATTTTTTTCCACCCACACCTCAAGAAAGAAGTTTCATTTCAAAACATTATATATTTAGAGACGTCCGAACACGGAGATGATGAGCATATAGGAACTATGCAACACGCCGAGAAATACCAGTAAATCGTACCAAACCTAGACTTAACTAGTACATAGTTAGTATTATAGTCTTTAAAAGATAAATATATTTTTAAACACTATGGAATAGTAGATCAAACATTTCGGTTTTCCGGCTTCATACACATACTTGACTGTGACTGTTTTCATTCAACTATTCGAAATCTCAATGCAACAGTTTCGAAAACAACTCAATATTATATAGTTACATGGACAACTCGGTTCCTATATATTGCAGTATAAATATTGTAAACAAAATACAATACCATCTATATACCTATATAGTATAATTTTGCATTTTTTTATGCCCGTGGGTGGAACGAACATTTAAAATATGCAATTTATAATGCAGTAATGGAAAATCTTGTTTTCATTCGATCAACCGCAGAGTAACCAGTGGTGAAAAGCAATTATTTCGATACTCGACCGCATATTATATAATCAACTTTGTATCATATATGATTGATACCTAAACACGTGTGATGTTTGGAAAACGTAATAACGCTATAATAATAATATGCGGGGCCTACATTGACTCATTGGAGTCGACAGAACGGAAATTAAACCGTCGAATCGACTTAGGTCCCTCGCGTATCAAACGGATCGTCCATCACTACGAATTACTCGCGCGCGATTTATCGCTGAGCTTTGGCGGGTTGACCGACGACGTTTATTTAATACATTTAATCTACATCAGACCCTACGTTATTGAACAATATAACGCTCTTGCGGTTTTATTAAATACGGCAGAAAGTATTGCACTTGATGAACTAATACTTGATCGACTTATGCTAATTATACAATATATAACGTTCCTAAACTTCGATCACACAGGTATGATGTGCGGAATGTGAAGCGTATTATTACATATTAACTATGATTAAATCTTTTAAATTAGGTACCTACGCTAAGACAATATAAAGAAATGTTTATTATTTTCCATGAACTATAAACATATATATCAATTTAAGCATTATCTTCAAAAATTAATAAAATTAATACCAAATAAATAAATAGCTAATATTACAGCAACACCTATTACACCAACTAAATTTTATTAATAATATTTGTACAAACTAGGTGTAAAATAATGTATTAAAATAAATATTGGTATTTTAATTTGCGATTCAATATGTGTATAGATCATACAAACATCTGGGTAACTTATATAACTAATCATAATGCATCAACATTTATTGTTCATTATAATAACTTAATTTTTTATTCTCAACGTTAATGTTTTAAAAGTAGAATTTTCATAACAATGAAGGTGGAAAAAATTATGAATAATACAAAATATATATAATCAAAAACCATTTTGGTTTTTGTTGTTATCCATAAATAAATAACCGTAGAGACTTGACATTTTTACAAAATATTTATATTATATTTTTCTAGGCATGGTAAAGTTTCAAAAATATTACTACTCTTTTTAAGCAGTTTATAGACATTTAAAGTGTTTTTATTTTTTGTTTTAACTCAATATAATATTATATGTAGATATGATAACATTATTGTTTTTACTTTTTGAGTAAAAAGTTATAGAATTGTATACTAGGCTCGTCAAAAGTTGACTTACTTTAATTACAAAATGGCTGTTATTAAAAATCTGTTGTTATTCAAATACTTATAACCGTATGTACTTAAAATGTTCATAGAAAGTTTATTTTATCATTTTCTATGAACGATAACATTTTATAAGTTTTTCTACTTGTTTTGAGTTATTTATAGACATTTTCAATTTTCAATTTTTTAGGTTTTTATTCTATAAGTGTCAATACAATTTTATTCGTTGTGTCAAGAAGCTTGAAAATTTAGTACAAGGTTCCTCATAAGTATTTATAATAGAAGTTGAGAAATATTATCCATAGCCCTAGACAGATTTTTTTTTTATAAGTATTTATTGTTCAGATTTTTACAACATATATCAAAATCTAGAAAATTTTAAAATTATTTTGTAGGTCAATTGTTCAATTTCTATAGCTAAGGGTTAATAATTTAAAACAAGGATTCTCATAAATAGTTCGTACTGTAAGACATATTATATTAGCACAGCTATTTTTTATATACAACTTAAGTTCATATTTTGACGAAATTATATATTAAGACCAAGAATAACGGTTTTAGTTATTTTATTGTACCTAATTAAAAATATTATTCATATATGCATATAAGACTTTTAAATTACCTATATAATTATATTTCATAAGCACAATGACATTTTTAAATGTAATTTTTTTACAAAAATAAATTTAACCCAACTGTTTTACTAATGCCTAATAATTGTAAAATAAATTACTTTAATCACAATAATCTAATCGAATATACTTAGATTTTTATAGCCTATACTATTATAGGCTGACAGATCGTTTTTAGATTTCACACAGAATCGTTTTTCGTATGCAAAGGTTTTAAATCATTGAATTCAAAATATATAACACATCCATTACAGTGACTTACTAGAGTCTAGACACCTAATGTAGTTACCCATTTACCCACTTTTTTGCGATATATGTTATAGAATACTATTTTTTTTTTTATGAAAATAATACTATATAATTCAATGCTTGATTGTGAACAGGTTATTTAGGAAATGCTACACAGCTATAATTTTAGCTCATATTCATTGAAATAAATAGAAAAACAAAAACAACTACAAACATGCTGTTGTGGACATGTTTTGGTTGAAACTTTCTAATTATAAATATATAATATTTCATGTAAAATTTATTATCAAATGAATATACTCTGCATTTATATATGGATTATAATATAACTCAATACCATAATGACATAACATTATTTTGAAGTAGTGTACTACCAGATAAAATATATCAAACAAATCAACACTATTATAATATTATATTAGGTACTTATATTGCATATTATAACAAATTCATTGAACATAATAATTTAATGAATACGGTACTACGCGATAGACATTCTAAAAAAATGTTATACTGCGCACACATATTTTTAATATATATGTGCATAAAACTGTTATATATACATTGTTTTTATATGATTTGTTGTAAATGGGATGTTTATTTTTACGTAAATAAATAATTAAATAAATAAAAGAAATGCACAAATTTAAAAGGAGGGAGAACTGTGATGACAGATAAATCATTCAATATCATCATTGGGATGACGGTCGTCCACGTTGTCGATAATCCACGCTCCCAGAATATTTTGTAACCAAATATCATCTCCGTCCATCAATATGTCCATGATAAAGTCAGATTCAATACAAGGATGTTCTCCCTCTACTAAAACTTTGTAATCATAAGTACTATCAGAACCAAACATCTACAAAAATAAAAATAATATAAGAATTACACCTAATATTATTGTATGAAGTTAATAAGATATTAATAAAACAATTTAAACATTCAAATTGGTAAATCACACGGTTATAATAATTAAAAAAATAATCGAAAACGAGCTCTTCTAAATTATTTATTTATACTCGTGGTATGTTCAAGGTACGATAAGACGATCTATTTTCTCTCATAAATAAATAAATAATTTTATTGTAAAATATACTCTCAAACTAGTATGATTTTGTACACAAAAAAACGTATAGTTATATCAGACACCCATTTATCTATTACTATAGGTAATAATTTAGGTGTTTATTTTTGACATCTGACTACAAACTACGATAGCCTTTCTGAAAAATCATTAGTCAACGCAAAACGAATTTAAACTTAATTTTGCTTACCTAATGTAATCGGGCCATCGGGGAGTCAGAAATGAAAGTAAGTACCTAATGCATCTGATGAATCATTCATCATCATAATTTTCAGAGTCAGACTCGTCCTCGTCGTCATCAACGATTATAATCCTCCTAATAGGTTCTATTATTTCAATATCCTCCCTATAAAATGGTATAACACACGGTTCCTCTTTGTATGGTATTTTATTATTACACATCTACAAGAATATATAAAAAAAAATTACACCTATTGTAATTGTACAGAGTTTATAGAATACTTATGGACAAATCCAACACAGTAATATATTATATATTAGTCATACGTTTTGTATTTTATAAGTAATAATACGTACCTATTATAACTGTAATTTATAAATGCAATTTTAGAAGAAAGCCCGGAAGTTGCTTTGCTTTATACTCGAACATACCTCGACATTTGTCATTAAAATATAAGTCACTGTTATAATATAATTGTTAAATTTGAATTCAATGATAAATCATTGTGCACACCCAAGGAAAACTATTCTGATCGCAGACGGTCCATCCTCCTAATATAATATGCCTAAGAATATTTTATAATTATTTATTTTTCTACAGTACCTAATAATGCTGTAGGTTGAACTAAATGTTGATAACAACAAATTGCAAATATTATATAGTAATTATTATGATATTAGTTCATATAATATATTAATATGACTATAGTTATTATAATAACATAAGTATAAGTCAATACTGACGTATAGTATGCAGAACAGTACAAATAGGTTGGTCGTATAAATATCCTGAAATTAATCTAAATAATTTTAAAATATTACTGTTTATAGTCTTATAGTAAATAATAATATTTCAAGTCTCTACGAATTATATTTTTAAACCACAACTATGTAACTAAAATTGTTATTTTTCATTTCAATACTAATTTTTGTCAACATTTGAATTTGAAATGTCTTTAAAAAAAATGTTTATATAAGTACCTAATACCAAGGTATTAACTGTATTAGGTACTTTGATTTTTAGATACTCGTAAAAAAATTGGGAACAATATTCTAGTTTAGCGCCCACTTGAATTTTTTGATTTTTTTTCGGAAACCTATGTATTTCGACGAGTTTAAAACGATGGTGTCAAAATTAGTTTGCGGAAATGATTATTTTGGAAGTTACAGCCTTCCAAAGTTTGCGATTTTACGTTTATACGCATGCACGCAACATTACCATACAGTACGTCGATATTTTTATATTAAAAGTTACGAGTCCGTATCCATAGTTAATTTGTGTTTTCACTCCTTGACCTGTTTACATAAGTATACCTAACCTCTCGGCTCCGGTCGTCAGTTTATAGAAGCTCCCTACGCCTGCCGGCTCCTGCGGACCTCTCGCTGGATGGGAGTTTTATATTAAAAGTTACGAGTCCGTATCCATAGTTAATTTGTGTTTTCACTCCTTGACCTGTTTACATAAGTATACCTAACCTCTCGGCTCCGGTCGTCAGTTTATAGAAGCTCCCTACGCCTGCCGGCTCCTGCGGACCTCTCGCTGGATGGGAGCTTGGCCCCCAAACCCTCCGGGGATTAAATAGCAAACCTGGGGAGGGGAGGGGGAGGGGTGGTTTCCTTATATGGTTTTCAGTGTAAAAAACAAAAAAGTATTTCTTGACTTGATATGCAACACCTTACACCACCTCAAGTAGGTCACAGGGTAAGTTATGTTGTATAGTATGTATAGTGATAACACGTCTTGCGGCACTCGTCGCTGCGCGTATTCAAGTGGGCGCCAAACTAGAATTATGCCAAAATTTTTATATGTTGTGTTCAATTTAAAAATTAAAAGCTTATTAGTTACTAAAGTTGAAAAGCGTGCACATTTTTAACTCCAAAATATTTTGAAAATGTTCGTGTTGTTTGAAAACTTTTCCCGAAGAGACAAAACAAACAAATTATGCTTGTATTGATACGAATAACAATAATATTATAAAACAATATGTGTAATCACGCTGGATAATATAACTTATATAGATACCTAATCAAAAGACCATGTTATTATAATAATTACCTTGATTATTTCGACGCTACCAATGTACAGGAAAAGTACGTGTGAAATTGACGCCGAAAATGAATCAGCTGTCAGCGTGAATCGGCGGTACAGATCGTCAGACGATGTAGAGAGTTGAATTTTAACCAGTTGCTAAAACGGAAAAGTTTGTAAATTATTAACTGGAAAAGAATTTGGGAACGTTAGTGTTGTTTTAAAACCTTTCCGACGTGATGAGAACAAACAAACGATGTGTGTATTAGGTATACACACATCGTTTGTTTGTTCAATCTGAATATCAGTATTGTTTTAAAATATTATGTATAATAATATGTTATATATTATATTGTAATATATAGGTATAATCATTATATTGGATAATAATAATATTATAAAAAATAGATAATCAAAATACCGTAATAATATTACAATAATTACCGTGATATAATATACTGTTTGCTGTATGTAGCGTGGACTGCTGGACTGCGTTCTGCTGTTGTTAATGTAGCGACTACGACTGCTGCTATGCACAATATATTGTATGTTGTGCGCGAGCAATAGGACGTGTTTAAAGAAAACCCAACCGTCGGTCATGGAAGGAGAACATGTCAGTGATGCCACGTTGGGGGAGGGACATGCTACTTTTCGTCTCACTGTGGCTCTTACTTACAAAAATATGAATAAGTCAATAAATTAATAACACAATAATTGAACATAATATAATAATATTGATAAATTTATAAGTCAATAAAAAATACCTACTAAATAACCTACAAAATATAGTAAGTACCTACCTAGTACCTAATACAATATACAATTGTATTATACTTTAATCAGCAAATGTGTCAATAAGATAATTATATAATTGTTGGTCAGTAATTTCTTTTTCTATATATATTATATTACTATATCTCAATATTGGTGACTTTGAAAATTGAATTTTAATCATAGCCAATAGCTCATTTAAAATTCAAAATATTCATTTGATTTCATAAAATATTGGTTAATACATATTGAACACAAAGATCATCTGAAAAGTTTAACGTTGATAAATAATTATTAATTACCAATAGTTCGTTTTTGGCACAACTATAATCTATAATGATTGCTATTAAGGTAATTTATTTTTCTATTAGTAGATAAATAGTAGATAATATAGTTTATTGAATTAATATTTTCCTAAAACATTCACTATTGCATTTGAAAATGTCATTTTTTGTATAGAATATAAATACATAGGTATCAACTTATATACTTTTAAGGACCTATCCATAAATACAACTTTTAAGTTACAAAAAAATAAGTAAAATTGTTATCCTCCCCATAGATATCAAATTTTGTCCAAATTTTTACTAAAAATATCTATAAAATAAACTTATATTAATAAATAATATCAAAATAGTTTGTTATAAAATATCGATATTTGTAAATAAAAATTAAAAATGTATAACACGACTGTATAATGTTAATGAGTTATTTAGATATTTAAACACTTTACATTACAATATTACAAAATATAGAGTTTTTTTTTTAGCTGTAAATAGTTGTATATTATATTCTGTAGTGTTCAAACTCTAGATGTTAGATGTATTTTTATATTATATTAAATAAAGGTATGTAGGTACCTATTACCTACTTAAAAAGACCTGGTTTGGGAAAATTAATGTCCCGATTTTGTACCAGTCTAACAATAGGTTTACGGTAAGTATACCGACAATTTAATTTGTAGTTTTTTGTCAGATAACAAAAATTAAAACTTAAAATAGTGAAATATATAGGTGACTCTTACAGTTACCTATTCATCATTTGTGTACAGAATCATATTATGCGAGTATTTTCATTTTACCTATTTTATGAGATAAAATTACAAAGAATATTAAATATTAATACAAACATAATACACTTTGAACTTAGGTTATATTTAATTAGTTGTGACTGATAAAGTATGTAGATTGTAGATGTATTCAAATAATTTAATTTCATTCCGGTAAAAATAATATTAATTAATATTGTTTCTTCAAATGTCATAAGATACATAAAAGGCCTCTATATTTTTATCAAGGTTACCTATAACTTGTCTTAAACTTGCATGGTTCGACAACATTTTTTAGTTCAAACATATTATGATTAAACGTTGACTTGGTGGTAAATATCACATATTATTATAGTGTAAACAAAATAATTAACAATATAATATTGGAATTTGGCATTACAAGTTACAATACCGGCAAAGTCCTAATTCAATAAGTTTTTATAATGATATACATATATCTATTCACTATTGTTATTATTTTATTATAAAATAGTATACAATTAATATAAAACCGTTATCTTAGTTAATAGAATTTATAATTTATACCTATATTTTTATTGGTGGTTGGAAACAAATTCACCAGTATAACAATTAAGGCAATAATGCATTATGGGGCACGTTAAATATAAATAATTTATATATTAGGTACCTATGTAATATGTATAATGATAATATTCACTCTACATAATATGACTTACAGTAAATGCAATTATTGATGTGTCAATTATTATCTATGTGTGGCATTTCTATTATTTGATCAGCATAATACAACAGTTTTTAGTTCAATTTATTTTTTTTTTTCGTATGGCGTGATGTCGGGGAGTAGGCCCGAAGGCAGGGTTTGGACGCCTATTTGGCATGATTTCTATTCGGGAATCCATGGATTCTGGGCTATTCCAGGTTTGGAGGATGGCAGTGGCCTGCCCAGAGAGCGATGCAGAGATTCGAACCGGCGACGGTGAGCGTTACAACTGACGCCGTAGTCCGCTCGACCACTCCGTCAATATCATCAGTCACCATATTGCAATGCCGTAGATAATAATTTAATATGGGGGATGCATAATATTAATTATATATTATTGTAAATTCATTTTTTCACACATTTCTATGTGTATACTTATTTATCTATTTTGTAGAATGATTTGTGTGTTGAGTTCAAAACATAAAATTATGGGTTCATATACATTAACTACTGTATTCAGAGTTGTATAGTACATATAGTTACTACATAATATGAGAGTAGATACATTAAAATCCCTTAGTTAATTGACTAATAAATTATTAATACTTATTTTTAAAAATATCGTAGGTGCCTATTGCCTATACCTATGTACTGTACGCAGCAGTATGAGCAATTTATACAAGTTCTGGTACGATATTTTACCGTTCTGTAAGTCAAGTACCAAGTCAATATTCAAGCAACAACGACGGAAATTTAAGACACAAATAAAATATTGAATATCGTTTATATATATCGTACCATGTAGCACGTACCATTACAGTGAGTGAGTACCATTTTTATTTCGTACAAACAGTTCAAATCGAATTCAGAAACCCATGAGGGGCCATGTCCTTTTCTCTGAGCAGTGTTCAGAAAAATAACCTTAAAATTTGAAAACCATTCGACAATAAAAACTCGTTGTTCGCACTCCTCAACAATACTTAATGGTACCTGCTATGGTGTGTATACGTGAGTATGTATACCTGATATAGTATTATTATGTTATTACTTATTATACCTACGATGTATAGCCCGTACACGTTTGGGCATAAAAAGGTATTTTTACCTGACGTGAATTCGGATAAACGTGAGTACAGGTACCTACACATTTATTTCAGACACTAAAAACGAATAAAACATTCGGGTAGGTACATCATATATTTTTAAAACAATACAACGATTACTACACACAGTGCATGTACTTTTCTTTTATGATTACTTAAAAAATATTTGTATCATAATGATAACATATTAATATTTTATATTAAACATAAACAGAAATTAAAATATTATAAAAAATATTTTTATCATTATATGGCCTACCTATTACATTAAATCTACAATAAAATCTTAAAATATATTTTATTTTATTTTTTCCTTACAAATGATGAGTCATATAAATGTTTTCTCTTAAGTCTTAATACTACTTAAGTACATAATATTATCTTTTAAAAAGTTCCTTCTTCGCATATCCATCAAAGCATTGATTATTTTATATTGAACTAAAATAATTTGGATGGCTTGCATAGTTGTATAAAAGTATTCAATGGCGTAATTGCGGGGTTGGGGGGCAAGGGGGTAACTCCCCAGAAATGTTTGTGAGGGGCAAAAGTATCATTCCCCCCCCCCAAATAATCCACATATAAAAAGTATTCTTGACAAGACTGTTAACATAATATGTTAACATTTTTAGAGCTAAGCCAATACCGACCCCCGATATTAATATCTGCCGATATTGGTACTATCGGTTTATCGGGTACCTATCGGTTTTTTTCTTCAAACCGATAATCAAACCGATCTAATGCAGTTGCATATCAATTTGTATGTAATGGTGGTGATTATAAAGATAGTGCTATTTTTTAAAATATTATAATATAAACAATAAATACATGGAAATATAAAATTAGATTGGTTATTGGTTTTATATCGGTCATATAAATCAGAACATCGGATATCGGAAAAAAATGTTATCGGCCCAGCTCTAAACATAATATTAGAATATTAAAATATTTTTTTCCTCAAATTACTTTATAAAAGTTTATATTTATTTTAGGTTTCTCTTGTTGAATAATATTATATTCTTGAAATCGCTATTATGACTATATGAAAGGCCGAACAGGAGGTTAATTTTATTGCCCCCCCCCCTAGATTTTAATCCAGTAACTCAAAGGTTCCCAACCTTTTTTGACTCGCGGCACCCTTGGACATTTTCTAAAAATCCGGAGGCACCCTATGCTCTATAGTCTATACTATAGAGTACTTCGATTCTATTTATTAGTGCATAAGTATAATCAAAAGTAGTAAGGTTTTAGGTGCATAGTATATACATATTACATTTTATAAACAAATTATTACATTGTATTTATTTTTAATGAAATTGTTTTTTCTAAAAAAATATTTCAAATAATTTCGCGGCACCCTGGTTGGGAATCTATGCTGAGTAACTCCACTAGAAGTATTAAAATCTCGATTAAGAAGACGTCACACATGAATGTTTTGTCTCCGTCTTATAAATGTACAACATAGCAAAAACTGTTTTGCGATTGACAACTTTTCTCTCACCATATTTGCTGTAGAAATACCAAATTTTAGAAAATTAAGGAAAAGCTTTATGTGTGCAATAGAGTGTTTTTTTTAATAGCACTATTCAATCATTTTTTATAAGCAAATTAAAAAAAAAACAAAATGTGTAGAAGCAAATATTTTTTATTTTATTTATGATATAATTGTTCATCTTATATGTTCAGACATTTTGGAACCACTACTACAAACACAGAAAGATAAAAGTTGTAACGCAAAAAAAGAGTTATTGCTATGTTGTGCATTAATTGTAAGTCGGAGACAACACATGCGAGTGTGATGTCCTTTTAAATGCTTTGGGTCCACTATGGTAGTCCTAGAAACAGATAATTGACTTTGAAAAATATATCGGAAAGGAACTTTTTCATCAACGAACGTTTCTATAGAATATAATGCTCAAATCGTTCTGTGCATGAGAATGATCGTTAATTTTATTGTACCCAAACGTTGGTAGTTGGTTATATGTACCTACCCAAATAC